TTTGTATAGTTTTGTTTCCATGGATGTGTTTGAATCCCATATGCATAACAAATATATTTAAAACACATATGTCAAAACAAACTTTTATTTTGGATACGATTAATCGTGATCATATATATATATATATATATATATTGCAATAAATTGTATTTGGAGAGCCTTACCTGAAATAGTGATGCTCTGTACAATTGGGGTGATGAGAGCTTCCCAGCAGGTCCGGCCTAAAGCCTCTGCGGCCTCGGCGTCAGGAAGAAACCGGTCTGCAAACATCTGCTCGTGTTTCAGGGCACTATTTAACCTGCAGCCCAAAGAGACGCACATAAACATCAGAGGTTTGATTCAGCAGTTGCAACACCTTCTGCTCCAAATGAGGAGCTACTGAAAACTCTGGCAGAAGATCTCACTTGTTAAAAAGCTGCAGCAGCTGGTTCTTGTCCTCCAAAATCTCCTGACACCAGGTGTGGGCTTTTGTAGTATAGAAGAGATAAGTGCGGCAACACAGCTGCTCCTTAAACACAGGCCAAAATGTGGGCTTCGGCCCCAGAACCTCAAACCCATGCACTCGTGTATCAATGCCACCCTGTTAAAAAAAACAAACGCAATTTACAAAAATAAAAAACGAGAAAAGCAAGCTTTATGTAGAGCTTCAGGTAAGTTCTGCCTGATTTTATGCACTGTAATAAATGTAATGACAACACATCAACATATTGCATTGAGTGATTATAATAAGTTAATCAGGTTTCAACTAAATTTTTTAAGTAATGCAAAGTTTAACTTCATTTTTTAGTCAGTTTGATTAATGTAAGTTGAGATAACTAGAAAAATGTAATTTGATTCAACTAAAAAATGTAAGGCAGCAATATTTTTTTTACGGTGTATAAAAAGTCTGACCTGTTGACATCTTTTGACTCGGATCTGAATGATAGGCCAGAAACGGGTCATATTCTCCAGCAAAACCACATGACTAGCAGAAGGTGCCACATTTACCTGTTTAACACACACACACACACACATAAGAGAAAGTGTCATCCTTATGTTCAATGTGCAATCAGAACCTCTGCTGGATGAACGAGAAGGGCTTTCTCACAGTGTTGAGTTCAGTATTGATGTTTGTAGGATCATCTCCTCCAAGAACTACAATACGAGCCGGCATGTAACTCGAGTCCTCGCTGGCTACAAGCACAGTCAACTGCCTGTGAATTAAGAAAACAATGAAGCAATAACATACTCTACACTTGTTAAGGGGGTGATTTTTACACCCCTCAACCTAAATTCACCAAATAAGAATTACAAATTTGGGAAAAACAACAGTCTTGCTTGTAAGATTACTGCTTAAATGTTTCTTATACTATTTATTAAAATATGATGCCCCTTTTTACAAGATGCCCTTGAGTGTGTATGTGAAGTTTCAGCTTAAAATATCTAATGAATAAAGTTTTATAACTCTTTGAAACTGCCTCTATTTGGCTTTGATCCAAATGCTGGCCTTTTGGTGACACTTGCTTTAAATTCACACGAGATTGTGCTCTTTTCAAAAAAGAGCGGAGCTACAAAATCATTTGCATCAGCATAGTGGCAGATTTAAAAATAAAAAGGACTAAAAAACTTTTTCTCCATGAAAAACTAAAAATGTCAAACAAAGTGGTTCAGACATTAGTCTATAGAGATTACGATGTTTATTTATGCATCCTAAAATCCAACTTAGTTGCTGACATTATCTTCAGAAGGTATGGCACAAAAACTCTAATGGACGGCTGCTTCTCACTTAGGGCTGTTTATGCTAATGAAAGAGATTGTCACTAATGGGCGGGGCTTTCCCCATCTAATGACATGTACAAAGGGAGAGTGTCAATCAAAGTGTTTGTTTGTTTTTTTATCAAGTGTGATTATAATTTTTTTTTATTCATTTTTAGCATTAGAAGCTGGTTAAATTCACACAGTGTTACCACACAACTGTGTTTAAATGTCTGATAAAAGTGTTTTTTGCATAATAGGTGCCCGTATATTAATAATTTATGTAAAAAAAAAAAAGTGTAGTGAAATTTTGATAATCTCTTGAATTTGAGGATTCTGAGCCAGCATACCTGATGACCACCCCTTTATGCATGTAAATGTTGATGAAATGCGAGCCGGTGCAACCGTTGGATTCCCAGTAGGTTTTGGGGTTTTTGTCGGTCAGTTTATTAGCTCGATGGTGATTGGAGGACACCTCCACCTTCTCCCAACATTTGTCCTCTTTCAGTTCCACACTGGAGCCTGAAGAACATCACATTTCATATATTCACATTAAGATCTATAATAAGCATTTACCAATTAGATGATGACTTTGGCAGTTTTAGTAAGAAAACAGAAAATAGCAGCTTCTAGGTTTCCCACATGTGATTTAGAGAGGTAAGGGCTTAATGAGATTAGAAAAAACATATGGATGGGTAAATCAAATAATAGTGTTTTTTTTTTAGTTCACACTTTAAATTGTACACTTTACTCTATATCACCAAGACATTTAGGAACAAACCTTGGCACAAGTTCCGCAGAAACACATCAAAGAAGGGAATATTGATGGGCTGATGGCTGCGCCGGTGCTCCTCAATCTGACCAAGGACCATCTAAAGACACAGATATGCGTTTTATAACATTAATATCAAATACATTTATATCACCTACAGTGGATCAATTTGGGCGACGCGGTGGTGCAGCAGGTAGTACTGTTGCCTCACAGCAAGAAGGTCGTTGGTTCGAGCTTCGACTGGGTCAGTTGGCATTTCAGTGTAGAGTTTGCATGTTCTCCCCACGTTCGAGTGGGTTTCCACCGGATGCTCCAGTTTTCCCCACAATCCAACGACATGCGGTACAGGTTATTGGGTGAGCTAGATTTTCCGTAGTCTCAGAGTGTGAATGAGAGTGTATGAGTGTTTCCCAGTGATGGGTTGCGGTATGAAGGGCATTTGCTGTGTAAAATATGTGCTGGATGAGTTGGTGGTTCATTCCGCTGTGGTGACCCCAGATTAATAAAGGGACTAAGCCGAAAAGAAAAAGAATGAATGAATGAATGGATGAATTTACAACTCATTATTTTTTAGGAAATTCACATCAGAACAGGTGCGAAACCGTTTCAGTTTTGTTTCAGAATGGCTGACATGGATTTTATTGAGAGAGTAGCGGTGCTTTATGTGCTGTGGAAGGCTAAAAACAGCATGGACTCGTTCAGCACAATGTCTGGGTCTGATCTGATCCTTTAGCTTGAATGAACTGTGGCTGCATGATAGCTCCTGACAAGATGACAGTCACTACATGAGTTTGCTTAAACCATGCTGCAGGATGTCTATCACGGTTTGCATAGACTTAACATGTAAATCCCTCATGTTCCATCTGCGTCTAGTGTTAAAATATGAGTGCACCTTTAGTCTAACTCAATGGCCTCAAACTCAATTCCTGGAGTGTCACAGACTCTGCACAGTTTAGCTCCAACTCCCTCCAACTGACTCCTGCAAAACAGTTTCTAGTAGTCTTGAACACCTTGATTAGTTTAACGAGCTGTGTTTAATTAGGGTTGGAGCAAAACTGTGCAGAGCTGTGGTCCTCCAGGAATTGAGTTTGAGACCTATATTCTAACTGCTAGTGTGACATCTCTGAGATCTATTTGAAAGGAGGTCTGCTTTATACCTGTATGCATCCTGCCAGCACACTGGTGGTCATTTTCTTGTAGAGACTGGCGTACTTCTCACAATCATTGATCAGATCCCGCAGCTCCGTGACCATGAGGAGGCTGGTGTTGTGTTTGTCCAGCGCTTTTAGAAGAGCGTCTTTAGTGCCCAGACGACACATCACAACAGCGTAGTCTTTATTCAGAGATGCGAGTCGATACAGGAAACGGATGAACTGCTGAACGACCTAAGTGTGGATGAAGAGGCATTAATTACTGCCATTATGAAGACGAGATCTTATTAAGCTAAATGAAGGGAAAGTACCTCTCTGTCACTGACAAAGGCCGTCATAGATGACAAGCAAGGCTCAATGCTCTCATGCCACGGCAACAGATCCTCCTGGTAGTTGTCCAAAAACTTGGTCAAAATCCTGTTGGGTACAAAATAAGTAGTAATCACTGGCAAATCAAGTCATAACCACATGTTAACCAAGAAATCCACACTATCATAATATAAAGATATTTGAGCAGCTTAAATAATACAAAAAATACTTGGGGAGTAATTATAGCAATTTAGGGCTGTCATGATACTGGACTTTAGTACCAATCTATTCTGAAATTTTAAAAACATCCATTTCCCACTAACATTTAAGCCAATGGTCTCAAACTCAATTCCTGGAGGGCCGCAGCTCTGCATAGTTTAGCTCCAACCACCTCCAACTCACACCTGCTTAACACCTTGATTAGTTTGATTAGCTGTTTAATTAGGGTTGGAGCAAAACTATACAGAGCTGCGGCCCTCCAGGAATCAAGCTTAAGACCTATGATTTAAGAACTTTTAAGCACATTTTGAAACTTCCGGGAGACTTGGGATGTCTGGGATTACATTAACGCTACTAGCCAATTTGCGAGCTAGTGTAGCGCTTGCCTGACTGGAGTAGTGTTTGGAGGTGGGCGGGTGTGGTGATGTGTGTACAGGTTATTGAGATTGGCTGTTTTGTGTCAGGGTCCAGGGTTCCTAGGGCATTGGGGGCGGAGCCAGCACAAGCAGGCTGACACAGAAGGCAGGAAGCTTGCTAATGAGAGCATCATGCTTTGATAAAGTGATATTCTAAGTTCAAAGGCGAAGGTTTACTGTTTAACATGACAGCGGGAAGGCAGCATGTTGTGTGCCACGTCATTTGGGATGCCATGTTGAGGGTTTCTGCACTGAAAACATTATAATTTGTACTTACTCTCTTTTATCTTTTTAGATGTTAGTCTGAATCGAATCATTCGGTTTGTAATGCGTCCCGAACCGAAAGTCTCGTACCAAACGGTATAATACGAATACGCGTATGGTTACGCCCTTAATACATACATATATATATATATACATACATACATACATACATACATACATACATACATACATACATACATACATACATACACACATACATACATACATACATATATATATACACACACACATATATATATACACACACACACACACACACACACACACATATATATATATATATATATATATATATAAAAATCACCAAATTATGTTTCAGGACCGGAACTCACCGAAGGATGGACAGCTGTACAGCCCGATCCGCCCTGTGCTGGTCCATGAGGCGGATGAGGTCCTGGAAGGTGTCTCTGCTGCGGGTTACCTCGTTCCTCTCGTCCTCCAGCTGAGAGGCGTCGTCACAGAGCAGTTGCTCCAAAGTCATTATGACCTCTTTGGTTGCTGGCATTTCCTTCAGACTGGCCACCAACATCTTCAGTTCGGTGTCCTTGAAGTCATGCTCTTCTTGAGACTCTACAGAGGGAAACAGAGCTGCAGGTTAATTCAAGTGAGGTACAAAAATGTGGACTCCAAGTTGAGACTGAATGTTCATTCTTTTATTAACATACTGCTTGTTACAGGCCTGTGCTTCTTTTAAAGGTGATTCCTATATGTATTTGGCCCACTTTACCGCCAATAGTTCAAATCAACACTACACTAGTGGTTAGTTATATTGTGATATTGACTATTAGAACAACCCTCTACAATGAATTAGTGTGTCGATTTGGAAAAAACTATAATGATGGTTATTTTGGTCCATATTGTACAATTTTGACTGGGCCATATGACCAAAACGATTTGATTGATTTATTCATTCTTCTCGTGTTAAAAAAAAGAAAGAAAAAAAAAATGTAGGGCGGCGCAATTAATCGAAAATCGATTTGTAATTGCAATTTGAAACAATGCCATCAGCTAATCACAACAGGCTGCGATATGACGTATATAAATTAATTTCCCCCACCCAGAGCAAATGCATGACTGCCGTCGGTGTGTGACAGTCTTACTAGCCAATTGAGTGAGCACACTTTCGTTCTGCCCAATCAGAATAGTGCAACAAAACTATGTGGAATGCCCACAATATAAAAAAAATAAATTAAAAACGAGAAAGCGCAGATGAGTGGGATGACGGCTGCTTCAAAAGCATTAATAGACAAGTTAATATCAAAGAAAAACAGCATGTCGGCAATGTGGGAATATCTTGGTTTCAAAGTCACAGACACAAAAACAGGTAATTTGTAAGAGCTGTCGCAGAATTGTTGTCAGCATAAGGAAATACAACAAGCAGGACCTAAAAAAGCACCACAAGTATATGAGGAGTATGATTGAGCTTAACTAAAAAATTAAATCACAAATCAAAATCACAATATGTCAAAAATAAATAAATTAATTAATTAATAAAATAATAATAATAAATAAATAAAAATCGCTATTAGATATTTTCTACAAATCGACGTCCCTAGTGTATAGGGGTGTCTTTAGAGAGCTTTAGTTAATTGTTAGAGGAGTTTCAAAAACACCTACAACAACTTAATTTAGCAAGCGGACAAAATGATTCATCACGATACCTTTTTTCTCCAGCTTGTGGACCATGGAAATGTGATTGAGAGCGATGATGGCCAGCATGCTGTGGTGATTCTGAGCAGGAAGGCACTTCTTGAGCGTGGCACTGACATTACAGGCGACCAGCTGCTCTGCCAGACTCTTGTGGCTGGAAATCAGCATGATGATGACCAGCAGCCCATTCCGCACAGACAAACCACAACTGTTCAAACCACAAAAGAAAAATAAACTGAATTTACTCCATTAAAGACAGACAAAGTTTTTAGTTTATCGCCATATAAGTTTCTCTAGCTTTGTCATGGCAAAAAAAATCTTTAAATGAAAGCATTGTCCATAAGACTGTCATTAATATAATCTAAATATAGGAATGCTCCGATCAGAACTTTTGCAGCCGATAGCAAGTACTGATTCCTTGTCATGGTGATCGGCTGATACCAAGTACAGATTCTGATGCTTCAAGCTTTTTATTGCATAAAGCACATTTTGGGGCGAAGCAGTGGCGCAGTAGGTAGTGCTGTCGCCTCACAGCAAGAAGGTCGCTGGTTCGAGCCTCGGTTCAGTTGCTGTCTCTGAGTGGAGTTTGCATGTTCTCCCTGCGTTCGCGTGGGTTTCCTCAGGGTGCTCCGGTTTCCCCCATAGTCCAAAGACATGCGGTACAGGTGAATTGGGTAGGCTAAATTGTCTGTAGTGTATGAGTGTGAATGAGTGTGTGGATGTTGGCCAGAGATGGGTTGCGGCTGGAATGGCATCCGCTGCGTAAAAACTTGCTGGATAAGTTGGAGGTTCATTCCACTGTGGCGACCCCGGATTAATAAAGGGACTAAGCCGACAAGAAAATGAATGAATGAATGAAAGCACATTTTTAGTCCAAGTAAGATACTTAACCATTAAGTGACAAGTCAAGGTCAGAAGCAACTTTACAGAACAAAGTAGATAAAACTGGCAAGAAAAATCACTAATAATGCAATTTGGAAACATTGCATATCATGGAAGAAGAATTTAACATATCTAAATGAAGTTTGGAGCACATATTTGATGCATAAGAAGTTAAAATGCACACTTATAAATCCATTACTTCTCTACTAAAAGGAAATAGATCCATAAACTACTGTGTATTACAATATGTACATTACGATAAGTTATATTATTTAATATTCAAGTTAAAAACATGTTTTAATTTTTTTTATATATTTTCCAGCCAGGATTTAATGAACTTACAATATTGTTGAAAACCAGAACATTCAGTTCTGATATATAAAAAGATTTCAGTTCATATGTGTCCTCTGCTTCTAAACTCATAAGCAAACAATTGTGATCGGTTCATGAGATTGACCAGAATAGCAAGTACCAATCGAGTCATGAAATGTGATTATCAGCTGATAAAATCTCTGGCCAATCGATCGGAGCATCCCTAATATTCCCTAACACGCTAAGAATGAGAATAAGATATTATGCATGCTTATAGCTACTGTCATTAAGTGCCATTCGCTCAGTTATGATATTTTAAATGCAAAGATGACATTGTTTGTTATGTAGGCTTCACAAACAAATGTCAAGACAACTTGACATTAGCAAGACAACTAAACTTCTGTCATAAACTAGATCGTCATGAAGCCATTATAAATGTGTCAAGAACAGCGTCATTAATTTTTTTTTTACCCCGACTACAGCAGTATAAGCTGAATTCATCCTTACAAATGTCATTAAATATTAACGATGGTGTTAAAAAATTTTTGACAGAGTAATGATAAGTTATGAGACATTTTAGTGAGAAATACAGTCTGTTCCACTAAAACCTGATCAGAAAAATATTAATGACAAAATTACAATGCCTCAAGACAAGTTATATTGTCTAGGTAATGTCAAATTGTCATGAAGACTGGCTGTGATGTATTTGTTTACGTCAAGTCGTCATAAGCAATGTCATCTTTACATTTAAAATGAGCAAATGACAGTTAAAAGTTGTCATAAGCATGCATAAAATCTCAATGGCATTCATGATGTGTCGTGCCATGATTATAAAGATTTCATTAAAGTTGTATGAACACCCCATAAAGTAAAGTGTTACCCATATTTAAAATATACTTTTCTATAATAAAAAGGTTTATAACAATAATAACGCATCAACAGCAATCAATAATACATAAAAAGAAATCCTTTTTCTTTTACATTTACTTTTGATACAAATTCTACCATTTAAACAACTCTCATTTAAAAACATTACCTTTGAAATCCCTCAGATAAAAGTTGCTGTCTGATGACATTAAAAATAAGGCAATCTAAATGTTTAACAGTTTGGCATTGCAATATTTGGTCCCACGTTATATTAAGTGTCCTTAACTACTATGTACTTACATCAAAAAATAAATACAATGTACTTACTGTGTTTATAATGTATTTGAGAACACTTGTGGTGCTTTTGAGTTGGGATAGAGGTTGGGTTATGGACAGGTTTGGTGGTATGGGTAGGTTTTAGGGTGGGTTAAGGTGTAAGGGATGGTCAACAGTGTATTTACAAATGTAATTACAAAAAGTTAATTACAGATGTAATTACATACATGTATTTAAACAAGCATAAGTACACAGTAAATACATGCATTTACACAATAAGTACATTGTAACAAACTATTGATTACTGTGTAAGTACATATAAGTTATGTCCACAATATAAAGTGGGACCCAATATTTACATTTTGGTGGAACTAATTTATTCAAATATGCTATGTAGAGTTCAAACCTCTTACCCTGTTGTTCCAAGCATGAGGTCTATGGCTGAAGGGATGGCACAAAGGAGCCCTTTGGAGCCTTCTGGTGTAGCAGAGCCAATGCTCGCGAAAATTTCCAGCATCATCTGAGTGCCAGACTCAGACAGGGGCAAATACGCACCCACACTGCGAGGGTCATGCTTACTGGCACCTGTGATGACCTTAAGGGTCTGGGAGAGAGCAGTTAATATGTGTTAGGGCAGTTAGATGTCTCAATATTATGGTCTTCACTTTATATTAATCGCGTGCTTCAACAATATATATAAAAAAAAAAGGATTCATTCATAAGATATATCTGCCTTACATGTATTGCATATACTATTATCACGTAAGGACAATTAAGCAATATATTGTTCAGTTCTAGTTTCAAAATATAAAATAAACAATTGTCACTCTTTTTCTGAATCCGTAGATCTAATGAACAGATCTGATGTCCATGAAAGGATAAGAATGGATGTCACAAGAACTCTTACTCACCGCCAGTGCTATCTGCTGCACCTGTATACAGGTGGGATACTCCTGCATGCAGCACAGGACGGCTTTAACACCGCCCTCAGTGGCGAAGGAGACCCTCCACTCGTATTTCAGCATAAGATTGCGGGTCAGCAGCAGCGCAGTGACCGCGTTCTGCTTGGGCTGGCTGCCAATCATCTCCACCAACATCTTTAAGACTTTGTCACTGAAAAAAACACAATCACACAGTATGAACTATCAAAGAAGCGATCTGAGAGAATCGCTGATGAGTCGTCGATGTCTGCGAGATATTTGGCGTGCTAAATATCTGGAGCTGTCGGCAATCAAATCATGCTGTGTGAATTGAGTTTTGACTGAAAATAACATCAGCGATCGCAGACAGCCAATAAGAGAGCAGCATTCACTTGTGTGTGTGTGTGTGTGTGTGTGTGTGTACACCTGCTGCAGGCCAGCGGGAGGCTGGGGGAGAAGTTAAAAGCGCTCATTTTCGGAGCCACGAAATGGAGGAAAAACTAGTGGAGGTTTGACAGAACTCAGGAGCACACGTGTCTGATTGACGTTTCATACAGAAAGAAATTAGTTTATTATTAAATTAAGTTAAGGAGAAATGACTAATTCCCTTTACACCCAGGTGAGCAAATATGTACATTTTCTACCCCATTAAAGGCTTCTTTCTCCTTATGTAGTTAAGAACAAAAGATATACAACGTGTTTTTGGCTGTGAGACGTAGTTTGGACGAAGTTGTCGGCGATTCTTCCTATAGTAAAGTCATGCAATGTAAAACACTCTGTTGCCAGCCCAAATAGCCATGCTGTGTGAAAACATCTGTGAAACGACTACTTTGAAAATCATGCAGTCTGAACTCGGCATTAGAAAAACTGACAATTCCTAATGTAGCTTTTCTGCAATATATAATTTTCATAGGAAAATTTTACATGATAGAAAGAATTTATTATGGACCATTGTTATGGAGACGATTTTCTTTCAGGTCCTACACCTTTCGAATCTTCAAAAAAAATGGCAAAGTCGAATGCAAAGTGGTGCAAAGAGTCTTTATTTACAGTGCTCAGTAAAAAAAAATCCCGCAAAAATAATACTCAGCAAAACAAAACAAAAAATATATATATTTACAAGACAAGTAGCACTTGGCTAACGTTTTCTTTCTACAAATAAAGAAATCCGATAAATCAATTTACTGCTCCGCACCACTCCACAACCTTACTTCTACACCCCACACCACACAGTGCTCACACTGCCCTTTTTATAGCAGGGGAGACTGGGATGGAATGGCTCATCCCTTCACAGCAGGTAAGAATCAAGTAAATATATCTATAAACAATTCTTTGATTAACGTTTTAATTATATGTATGCACTCCATTTGCATACTATAAAGATTTACACCATTACTAATTATTTTTATATTTTCTAGTTTTTATAAACCCCTTTTGTTTAATTGTCCCCAACAATCTTTCTCCCCCATAATTACAACAAATAGGCTCTCCGGCCGGCCGGCCCTTCTGCCCATGCGCAGTGCACGCTTGTGCATAAAATGAACGCGATAGGCTTTTGGCCTTCCATAGTCGTCATGGAAGTCGCCCGAAACAAACACAAACACAACTGAACAACAGGTAAGTGAATATGCTTGATGTAAGTGTTGTGTATGCTTTGTAATAACGGATGTATAGCGGAATTATTAACTTGAAATGTGTGCGTGTTTGTCTGTATGTATACGTTCCGGCAGCAGCGCAACTACAGTGTGCACCCTGTGATCGGGTGATGGTGAGTATGGAGTACAGTGTTATAATGGATGCGTGTGGAGGGAAAGTTTATATGTATTTCTGCCGCAGGCCAGTGACAACCTCCTTTGTCACAACCCTTTTCACAAGACTGTTATGATGATTTTAACGGTCATCAGTAGGCGTGTGACGAGATCTTGTGCTACGCGATCTTGCGAGACTAAATCGTGACGAGATTTCTCAGTTGTCTCATGAGTTGTGATGTTATGATGGGAAGGTGAGGGTATTTAGCACTAAAACTTGGGAGGCAAGATTGGATTTGAACCACACATCAAGTGCTTCACACACACCTGGCAACCCGGGCTGCCTTGTGTTGCGCACGTCACTCGGTTGCTTGAGCGGGTGTGATGTAACAGTTTTTTTTCACTGAAGTGACCACGTCCACAAAACAAAAGGCTGCTTTTACTGCCACCACACAAATTAACCGATTCTAAGCCATGAACTGGAATAGCATTTTAGATTTGCTTAAAGTATTTATTTGTCATAAACACAAATGGAATTAAGACATGTGGAGTGTTCCTATTGCAGTCGAATTATATTTTAGTGCAGTATAGACATGCAAACGATGTAATCAAACTGCTACTGTCGTGTAGGTTTTTTAGATGCATTTAGTGATAAGCCACACACACACGCACGCACACATGCACGCATGCACGCACACACACAGTTCGACATTATTCTCTGCACCTACTGAGTCAGTAAAGGACCACAGACACACACATTTCCTTTAAGTGCGTATTTTTTTACATTTAAAAGAACAGGTTTAAAGCTTTATGTGGATGTCTTATGTCTGTGAAGCAAGTATTCGCTGAGATTCCAGTGTGTTTGATGACAACATAAACTGTTATAAAAGCACACGTCTAGTCCAAGCTTCTCCCTAGAGAATCATCAGTCTGTATCGATCATTGATTTGCTCCTGTACTAGTTAGGTGGGGTTTCATTTACCATATTGCCCGTTAAACTTTACTCCATTCAAAACAGTGACATGTCTTGTGTATTCTATAGTCTAAAGTATTCTATAGACACTACACTTAACTGCAGTTCTAGATTTTTTTCTGATCTCACCGGATGGTTTGCGCAGAGTCTGATCTGAGGGTGCTTCTCTCTTGAGGTCCTTCCTCCTCCGTGATCTTGCTGATGACTTTCATGCCGGCAAGCTGCAGTCCAGAGTCTGAGCTACTCTTCTTCATCATGTCCACCACTTCCCCCATCTTCTCCAGAGAGCTCTTCTTACCCTGCACCTTTGGACTGTTGAACACTGCAGAGAACAGCAACACACAAAAACAAATGCTTAAAGAAGAAATGTGCATGCAGCTCGGAGAGTTTCACTGGCTTGGATTTATTAATAACACTCTAACCATGGGTAATATAAGCGCAATGTGGGAGGTTCATAAGAATTTATTTTATTAATAAAGTAAACAAAACGAATGGAATATAAATTACAGTATTTTATTTCTTAAGGTAACTTCAACTGTGTTTAGTTATATAGTTATTTAGTGTACTTTTTAAGATATATTGTTTTCAGTTTACATGTATTTTATTTCAAACAACAAAAATTATTGTAATGAACATAACTAATAACCACAATTAAAAAATGAACAAAACTGTTATAATGAATAAAAATGTTCATTATAACACATACTACAGCAGTGGTTCTCAACTGGTTTGGCCACGGGACCCACATTTTTACATGGTCATCAGGCCGCGACCCAAATTTCTAGGAACTATAATATAATTTTAGGAATTATAATTCATTTGTATTTATTTGTTAACATACACAAGTAGTGACAGATAAATCATAATAAAATCACCAAGACTTGCAAATAAACAATATTTTACTGCTGTCATTTAACAAAATGTATCAAATTATAGAAATATTACAAAGTAAAAACGTCAAATACTGTAAACAGTGGTTAGGGTAAGGAAAAGTTGAGTTACCTTTAACTAAACTGAACTGTTAATAAAACTTTAACGCTGATCCGGTTGAACAAAACAAACCAGCAATCTAAAGTAAAATGATTAAAATAATCATAACCATTTTTATAATAATCAACAGTTATTTGCTCTTCTGCTTTTGTGTGGGCTTTCTTGGCCTTGGCTATACGGTGAGCAAGGTAAGATGAGCGGAGTGCCTGTACTTGTTTTGAACAAAGATGTTAGGGACTTTTGTGATACCCTCAGCTCTTGGAGTAGTCTTTGAAAATAGTCCACAGGTTTGTCCTTGCAACTAGGATGTTTGGTTTTTAAATGTGGTTTTAATTTAGAATGTTTCATGCTCTCTTGTGAGAGCACCTCACTACATATGACACACTTGAGGTTTTAAGCCTTTTTTGTAGTCAATATTTGTAAATCCACACTTTACATATTCCGGGTCGTACTTACGCTGAAATTTTGCATCTCAAACGGTACGGTTGTCGCAAGCGCATTTCAAAATAAAAGTCCGATATTAGCAAAATAAGTAAAAAAATAAACTTTTGATCACACACTCTGCGACCCACTGAAAATGTTCCCACCAGTTGAGAAACACTGTACTACAGAAACCATACAATTAGCCTACTTCTTTATCATGGTTGTAATGTGCTAAACCTGTGATTATCTTGATCAATTAGTGTACGGAAAATTAGGGTGCTTTCCCATCTGTGGTTCAGTTCATTTGGTCTGGACCAAGAGCAACAAATATACATTGTAGCAGTTGTCTTCCTTTTCACACCAAACTGACTGCTTTGGTCCAAACCAGTTGAATAGAACCAAAATGCAGTCATGTGACAAAATCCAAACTACATTGGAAAACATCACTCATTGGCCAGATGTTATTGAACGCATTTTCAATTGGTCAGAATTAACTTGCGGGAAAATGCCAATGGAACTCCCGCAAGTAAACAAACCGGCAGACACAAAATGTCGCTTTTTACAAAGGAGCTACGACTGCGCTGGCTGATTGCATCCCTGCTCATAGTATACTCTATAGTTTGTATACATCACTTTAGAGCAGGGGTGTCAAACTCAATTCCTGGAGGGCCGAAGCCCTGCACAGTTTAGTTCCAACCCTGCTCCAACACACTTACCTGTAGGTTTCAAACAAGCCTGAAGGACTTAATTAGTTTGATCAGGTGTGTTTAATTAGGGTTGGAACTAAACTGTGCAGAGCTGCGGCCCTTTTGGAACTGAGTTTGATACCTGTGCTTTAGACAAACTATACATTTCGAAAATGAAGCGTGGCTGCAGCTGGAAAACGATGTTTTAATGCAAAGCAAACAGCAAAGGCGCATCACAAGTAGCTTAAGATGGTGGCGTGAAGGAACTTTGCTAAACTGTGACATGGTCATCTTCTGGAAATATTCCCAACAATTCTTCAGTTAATGTTTTTCCCTCTATCTCTCCGTTTAAAATTGTTGGTAAAGGGCTGTCAATAATTATTTTTTCCTCCACATCCCATAATGCACAGATCAAACTAGTCCAAAAAGGCGCAGTACTTTTTGCAGCTGGGTCTGTTTTAGTTCGGATCATATTCTAAACACAAACTAACCACTCCAGGGTCTGTTTAAAAGCCTACCGAGACCATCTCCTCAAGGAGGTCCTGGTACGCTTTTTTGGTCCACTTTTGGTGCGTACTCATTTGCAATTTCTACATTCACAATGAACCACACCAAGAGGGAAAACGAACTCTAGTGCAATTCAACTGAACTAAATAAGAAAGGTGTGAAAACTATCTTAGACTGTTACAATTTGTATAGACGCTACTGTCTTTCTAACAGCAACAACACAAAAAGTCTTGCCTTTCATCTTCTCCTCAAGGTCATCAGGATACTTGCTGTCGTCTTCATTGGGAAGCTCGTTCTCCTTCTCATTCCCACAGCTGACGGGGTCTGCCACAATCTCTTTCTTGGCTTTCTTGGACACCGAGCCCATGGTGCAGGAAGAGGCTGAGGAAGAGGAGGACGAGACTGTGGCTGAAGATAATGATGAAGACGATGAAGCTCCCTGTCCTCCAAATGAGCCGTCCATCAGCATTTCTTCATCCTCGAGGCCGGCACCACCGCAGCTCAGGTAATGCTTGATGAAGGTGTGGGAGCAGAGCAGGTCTCCTAGACAGGACGCCTGCAGATTCTGTTTCAGGTAGTGGAGGACTTTCTGCGCCCCTCGCCCGTGAGGGACAGCTGAATGAGAGTCGACTCGTCAAGCTCACCCATCTCACAAATACCGGGAGAGACAAGAGGAGAACTTGTGAAGCGACCCTTAAACAAGCTCATTTAAACGACATTTATTTTCTGTGCAAATGGTCCAACACTGAAATCCACGCGTCAGTGGTCAATATAATGCACTTTACATGAAATACAACACACTTTACACTACTCTTTAAAAGTTTAAAATGTTAGCAAGATTTTTTTAAACAAGTCTCTGACACTCACCAAGGGAGAATTTAAAGCAACAAAAGTGTATAGATATATATATATATATATATATATATATATATATATATATATATATATATATATATATATATATATATATATATATTAGGGTTGTAACAATATACCGGTATGACGGTTTACCACGATTTGAACGTGCACGATTATCATACCATGAACAATTGCATATCAACGGTTTTAACCCTTAAAGACCGAGACAGCCGCCCGCGGCTAAAAATAAGTATTGCTCTTAAATGTTTAATAACTTTTGATCCGCTGATCCGATTCATACAATTCAAAGATTGGCATAAAGAAGAGAATCTCAGAGGCTCCGGAATCAGTGCGGTTACGTCATCAACATTTGACAACGCTGATTTGACAAAGAAACGCTCGTCACTGTGTCTCCGGACAAATCAGACATGATCATTGATGCATTGTCCCTCCTCCATGCCCAGATTGGTTCAAACTCGCTATATCACAACCAATAAGCATAGGTTTCGCTTTTGTTTGTGGACCAAGCTTTTTGAACAACACGGAATGAGAGATAGGCATACATTTATGCGCGGCTAAATAAAACGCAAAAAAAAAAGTTTTGCATGAAATAATTCTCATACTAAGTACTTTTGCATGCACAGCAGCACAGAAACATGACAAAACAGTGACACAGCAAAGACGAACTGCTGCTCTTGCTGTTTTCAAAAGACGCAAATGAAGATGCAGCGGTTTGTCAGTCTGCATTGCAGACAACCATATCGAAATCCATATCCATAGACAACCATATCCATGCTGGCACATAAAACCTAAGGATGTTCCATATTGAATCTAGTTTCGTTATGTAACTATTTATAGTATAGTAAATATTTATATCTATTTTTTACTGAGGATTTGCACCATGTTTATTTGGACTTTATTTGGACTTTGACACATTATTTATTATTTTCTTATTTTTTATTTGTTCATTGTAAGTGGTGTTGTTTATAGTAACTAAAAATATATTATTTGGAAAAAGTCAAGTTTGCTTCACTGTTCTATTATTTTGTAACATTTGTAACATACCGTATACCGCGAAACCGTCAAACCGTGGTATTGTTTTAGACGATTATCATACCGTGAAAAATTCATACCGTTACAACCCTAATATATATATATAAATAAATATTAGGGGTGTGCAATTAATCGAAAGTCAGATTTCGATTTTGGCTTGTAACGATTATGAAAAACCATTAATCGAAATAAACGATTATTCCATTACATAACGCCCCCTTTCCAGTTGTACACATGTGCTGCTGTGCAAAGCTCAGTTCCACGTGAAAATGACTAAAAGCATGTGCTGTAATGTAACTTTTGCAGCACGGGATGCGCATCATTCATATTTTTAAAAGCGCAAAAGAGCACGTGCTGTTGTCTGTGTGCGCGCCGTGCTCAGCCTCGAACAGGTAGCGTGTGTGTGTGTGTGTATGTGTGTTTGCGCGCGCGCCGCGCTTGGCCTCGGACAGCAGAGCACACACGCACATCTAACCCTCATTTGTTTAATAAACACACAAGTTGAGAATCAAAAGACACGTGAAAGAGAAACCATATCAGAGCCGCACTATTCTTAAAGTGATAGCGCGCAATATCCCTGCTGCTGCCGACTGTTTTTATTATTAATCAATAATAAAATCAAAAATACAGTGAAGATACTTAAAGCACAGTTTAAACATAACAGATTTAATAACTCATTTCTGATAACTGATTTATATTATTTTTGCTATGATGACAGTACATTATATTTTACTAGATATTAGTAGTCAGCTTAAACTGACACAAAGGCTTAATTAGGTTAATTAGGCATGTCATTATATAACAGTAGTTTCTTCTGCATACAATCAAAAATATATATTGCTTGACGGGGGCTAATAATATCGAGCTATTAAAATAGGTTTCAAAATATTTAAACCTGCTTTTATTCTAGCTGAAATAAAACAAATAAGCCTTCCTACAGAAGAAAAAAATATTATAGGAAATACTGTGAAAATTCCTCTGTTAAACATCATTTGGGAAATATTTATATAACAACAAATTCACAGAAGGGCGAATAATTTTGACTTTAACTAAGGAACTCCAGGAATTGAGTTTGAGACCTCTGACATAGAGCCATTTGTAGCTGCATTGAAACTGCAATATAGACCTTCATCTATTTGCTCACATGGCTGAACACGTGCACATCCTAGACTCGACTAATGTACATGAGTTGGATAATGAAACTGAAACACTTGGTTTTACACCACAATAATTCATTAGTATGGTGGAGGGCCTCCTTTTGTGGCTAATACAACTTCGACTTGTCTTGAGAATGATAGATACAAGTCCTGCTCAGTGGCCAGAAGAAACTGATCCATTCTTCTTGAAGAATAGCGGCCTGGTCACTACATGATGCTGGTGGAAGAAAACATTTCCTGACTCGCTCCTTCAAAACACCTCAAAGTGGCTCAATAATATATGGATATGGTGACTGTGCAGGCCATGGGAGATGTTCAACTTCACTTTCATGTTCATCAAACCACTCTGTCACCAGTCTTGCTCTGTGCATTGGTGCATTACCATCCTGAAAGAAGGCATCGCCTTCAGGACACAATGTTTGAACTATTGGGTGCACATGGTCCTCCAGAATGGTTTGGAAGTCCTTAGCAGTGACCCGCCCATCTAACACAAGTACTGGGTCTAGGGAATGTCATGATATTGCAGCCCAAACAATCACTGATCCACCCCTATGCTTCACTTTGGGCATGCAACAGTCTGGGTAGTACGTTTCTTTGGGGCTTCTCCACACCTTAACTCTCCCAGATGCCAAGAATTTATCCTCTTTTGAGTACTGACATGTCACACATGATGTTGTGTGCATTGGAATATTTTAAGCAATACTGTGCAGTTACTTTGCTAATCTAACCTTCACACTCTGCTCCTAATGGTGTTAAACATGCAATCAATGAAGATTGGCCACCAAGCGGGTCAAATTAAGCCATGAAACCTCCAACAATTAAGCCATGAAACCTCCAAAATTTCAGTTTCATTGTCCAATCCCTTGTATATTACTTTAAATCGATAAATGATTATATTAAATAATTGATTTATCAATTTATAGTCCTAGCCTGCTTTTTACAGTAAAACATTTTCCCTTTGCAATGATGCCACCAGCAAAGCATTTACAAACAAACATCACTACATTTATTAATCTTTGAGAACGTCGGCCCACAAAACCAGACACAAAAGACAGGCTTTGGAAATGATGAGTACCGGTTCATCAAGGCTCTGTCGTAGGATGTTGTTGACCTCCTGTTGTTGCTTGGGTTCCAACTTCTTAATGAAAAAGAGCACTTCCCACCACTCAGCGCGGCTCAGGCGGCCTGCGTCACCATGCGAGCCCTCCATTAGATAAGGCAATGAGTAGAGCCCACCGGGGGGCTTGGAGAAGAACGTCTGACTCACTGCCACGTCCACAAAACACAAAAGAAAACTCATAAACGGAGATGGGCACACATACAGAGCAAACACAATCATGTTGGTAGTTTTTGATGGTTCTTGATTTACCAGTAGTGAGTTTGAGAGTCTCTGTGAGGGAGGACGCCTTTTCCTGAGTCTCCTTCTCTGCCTGACCTCCAGTGCCGTTGCCCAGGATTTCAATCATATGCCAGTGCACCCAGTAGGTCCTGGAAAGGGAGTTCCAGTAGACCTGCAAAAGACAAAATATGATGGAATGTGAAGAATATAAACATGGTGCTTTTCATTTTTTATCTAACGTAGAGCAGTGTTGTAACATAAGATATTGTGAAATATCTTATATATTTATGTTTTAATGCCACATCAGTAGCATAGGCTCTATGTATTAAGAGCCTACTAACACTATGCTATCCAAACCGTGCCCAGACCCGTTTCCCCAGATCGTTTCAGAAGTGCGAGTGCTCTGAATCGGGCTCAGACACGGTTCAGTTGGCCGGCCCTGGCCCGATTGGAAGAGGTGTGCCAGAGCGGGGTTCACTTGGGTGCAGTACGCTTGTAGTATGAGTTCAAAGCGTGCCTGAGCCGAAAACTGAAGACGAGACGTGACTTTTAAGAAACTGTTTCATATGGATTTATTAATCAATCTTACTGTTCAATGAACGCAAACTGTCGTAGATTATTAAAGACGCAAACCCCTCACTACTCAACTATGGACAGCTAAAGGAGGTTCGGGGGTGAGGTGTCTGAATAACACTGCTGAGAACCAGGTACTGTGTACTGTGGTGTTAGTAACTACTATAAAGTTTGTTTCGGGCCGCAGCTGCAATTGGATACTATACCAATGTTGGCAACCCTGGGGTTTCAGAGTTCTGAGGACTACTACGCACTCGGACTACTTTAATATTGTTGATAAGCCATGGTGAGCATTTTACTCCAATCAACGCAGATTAGCATAGCGCTAAGAAGGGGTTTGGGAACAAATGAATAGCTGAAAGAATAATATGGGAGTCGCTGGGATAATTAGGTAAAATAAATACCTAATTTAAGACAAGTGTTTGTTTTTTTTTTTACTTTGAATGCTTATCAGCCTGTTGCTGGAGACCCCCAAAATCAAAATAAGACCCTTTTCAATGTATAGTAGGATGTATTTAAGAATATGCATTCTATTAAAATATGCTTTAGCTTCAGAATATTCTTACACAAGTAATGAATAGGTTGTGGAATTTCTTATCTTCTTGTGAAATATCTATTTCATCAGATGACAGGAAAAGCTCTGTTTGATAAAAGGTATTACTGGGGTGATCTGTTGAGTAATCCTGCATTAAAAAGCCAAAAATTTCAAGTAGAAAATTAGATTTTTACATTCAACACTTTTTTATTAAGGGTAAATCTTTTAAATGGAGGATGATATGGATAAAACTGAGAAGAATGTATTTGGAGAAGAAGAAAAATATATATCACTTATGTAACACAATGGTTTCTTCTGAAATGAGCTGCTCAATTATTAGTGTGAGTTCAAACAAGCAGCGCTGCTTCATTTTGGTTTTGGTGCATTCGCTGATGAATCTCACACAAAAAAGAAAGCATTTGGGGTTTAGCAAAATTTCTAAAAAAGATAATTACTAGAAAGGATAAAAGGGCAAAAAACGCAACCATTTTGTCAGTCAAAAACCCAATGAAGAAATAAATGAATATTTATATTTGATCCATTTTAAAAAAACTGTTCATCTGGAATAATAATTAACCCAGTGAAGCAACTTGCTTTTTATTTAGGGTCACAAAGGAATCTAGAATAAGTTCTACAATGCTGAATGTCACTCAAGTGAACAATTATACACTGTACAATGAAAAGGTAGGGCTGAACACTTTATCAAAAGATGATGTGACCTAGCGCATGCAAATACTAAACTGTGAAAAGACTATTTAAATAAGTAGTCTGCATGTTCTGAATGCCAGTGTGAATAAATGGCATGGGCTGAGTCCGAAATCACACACGTCCATACTACATAGTATGTTAAAACAGTTTGCAAGCAGAGTTGCATGCCTCATTTCATAGTATTGAAAAAACAGCATGCGAGAAGTACCCAGATGCCTTAGTAATTCCGGTGACATTCTGAAGTATGCATCCAACGGATGCTACGCTATCCCATGATGCCACATAAAAGAATTCATGAATGGGAGTGAAGCGGCGTAACTGGCGTAGGTAGGTCACATGATAATTGGCGGGTGTAGTGTGTCCGAGCTCCATTTAAACTACTCGCATTCATACTGTTTAGAACGTACTTCACTAGCGGTTGTGTAGTAAATTCAATAGGGGTATACCTACAAAAATAAATAAATAACAGACTACGTGTTCACGTTTTTGTATGCTTTCATCTGTTACTTCATGATGTCTGGAAGATAACCGCAAAAAAAACTTATAGTAAACATGTTTTTGAACCACACTATAGTGTATAATGTGTACAACTCTTTGTTAATGAATGCTAAGGAATACCGTAGTATGGAACACTGATAAACTGTAACAAATAACGTTAGAGTAAACTGTGGTGCATTGTGATGGTGTATAATTAAGGCTAAGAAAACTGAAGCCTATTAAATAGTTTGTTTATCACTAACAGTTGTGTCGTACCACAGCAGCAATATAACTACTTTGACAGTTTAATGCAAGTAATTATCTTTAGTATGCTTCCAAACACTACAGTATTTTTGCTACAGTATTTTTCACGAAACAACGAAATAACTTATACAGTATATACCGCCTATGTCAGGCAAATATTTTTAGTTTAGTACAAAACTTGACTGTCTTCATGATATAAGGATCTTGCCCAACATATGTGGTTATTTTCCATTTATATCTCCTTTGAAATATGGAATAAATAAATATGGACTTACATCTGTCTCCTATTCAGTTTTTTACTTCCTGCCCTCCATCTCAATTTCACTTGTCACCAGAACCACATGACCAAAAACAACCTGTGATTTTTTCATTTTATATTTAATAAAATTACAGCTTCTAAGTTCATTTATTCATTTATTTTCTGCCGCTATTCCGGGGCCGGGTCACGGGGGCAGCAGTCCTAGGAGAGAACCCCAGACTTCCCTCTAGCTCCTCCGGGGGGATCCCGAGGCGTTCCCAGGCCAGCCGAGAGACATGGTCCCTCCAGAATGTCCTGAGTCTTCCCCGAGGCCTCCTCCCGGTGGGGCATGCCTGGAACACCTCCCTAGGTAGGCGTCCAGGAGGCATCCAAAACAGATGCCCGAGCCACCTCAGCTGACTTCTCTCGATGTGTAGGTGCAGCGGCTCTACTCTGAGCTCCTCCCGAGTGTCAGAGGTCCTCACCCTATCCATAAGAGTGCGCCCTGCCATCCTTCGAAGGAAACTCATTTTGGCCGCATGTATCCAAGATCTTGTCCTTTCAGTCATGACCCAAAGACCATAGGTGAGAGTAGGAACGTAGTTTGACCGATAAATCGAAAGCTTTGCCTTTCAGCTCAGCTCCTTCTTTACCACAACAGACTGGTACATCGACCGCATTACTGCTGCCGCTGCACCAATCTGCCTGTTAATCTCACGTTCCATCCATCCCTCACTCATGAACAAAACCCCGAGATACGAAAACTCCTCCACCTGGGCTAAGGACTTTCCTCCAACCTGGAAATGGTTCTAAGTTCTGTTTGTTAAAACCAAAACTTTCTAGCAGTACTGTTTCTGTAATAAGTGGTGTAATAATAATCTATTACATTTTCGGAAGCACCCATGGTTACACTGGAGACCTTTTAATAGCAAGCTTAACTCACTAACCTGCACTGGAGGTGAGCCGTCGTTACTGTAGCGAAATTCTCCTTCATCCCCGGAGCTGACCTCCTCATAGTCCTCCAGCATACGGACCATCATGCCACTCTTTAGGTTGTCCTGCACATACTCCACATAAGCTGAACGTGAAGAGAAGTCAGAACGTGTCTTGAAACCATTAGTGGTTTTCTTCTTCTTCGGTGGCGTGACTGCAGCCATCGCTGTAGCGGCCATGATAGAAGTGGAAGAAGAGAAGCGTGGCTGAAAGATGGAGCGGACTGTGTGTTTCTGGATCTCGTTATTAATTTCGTCCAGGCCTCTGCTTGCGCTGCTGGAGGAGAAGGGTAGCTGTCGGTTGCGGTCCCAGCCCATGACCCGCACCAGCTCTGAGATGAGGTTAGCCATGGCCATGGTGAACTCGAACTCCCGCTGCACTCGAGCTTGCTCTGATTGGTAGGACGCTGTGGAGGAGGAGGAGGAGGGGCCGACGTCCTGGCGCTCAGAGGTCGACTCCACGCCTGCTGTGTTCAGCTTGTCCATCAGTGAAGTGACACACAGGTAACGCTTCACCAGCGAGAAAAGCAGCTTGCCAGGAATCTACAAACCAATCATTTTACATAGTACAAGATTAATACGTTTATGATCATTAACAATAACACATAAAAAGTAGATTTTAAATTATCTCCTAAATTAGCATATAATCTCATTTCAGCTTTTCCATTTAGTTGCTTTCGTCATATTTATTAGTGTTTTTTAGTGTCTATAGACCTTTTTCATAGAATGCAAAATTACCCATTATGCTTTGCGTGTATGCGTAAGGAGGACGCTAAGAACTTCAGGTCGGCAGTTTGATGCACATAAACAGTCACATTTGGACAGCTTTGAAACGTTAGTTTTAATCTATTTTACTTGCTTTTAATGTAGGGCTGCAACAACAAATCAATTAAATCGATGAAAATCGATTACTAAAAGAGTGGTAACAAATTTCATAATCAATTCGTTGTCTTGCGAGACGTGGGGACGATTGATTATTAAAAAAAAAGTTTGTTCAGCGACGAGTGGAGTGAATGCGGTTTTTCTTGTGCACTGATGCAATGTTCGGCGCTTCATAGACAGGGATGAATAGGAAGTAGTTCAACAGCAGGGTAAATTACTACAGAATTCTACTTTTGTTCCGTTTTGAAGTGAGGAACGTAAAGTCTCTGGTGCTGGTGTTTACTTGTTATCCAGCTTGACAAGCATGACAAGTTAGCGTTAGCTTGTTAACCCTTGGGGCAACTGAAAAGTCTGGCGCTGAGCCAGAGAAAGACTTGTCATATTATCAGAATTATGCAGCGTTTTTAATCACCCAATGATTATTTTATGTTTTAGATATGTAAATACACCCAAGTACTAGTAAAAAAATACATTTAGAGTCTGTAAAACACACAAGGAAGTCTATGGAAGTCTAACCATCCATTCAAATATGATTTGCAGATGAGTTTTATTCATATCAGATACACGTAGTGAAAGTAACAGTGAAGTTAAATCTATTATTCTCTAAGTTCACCAGCCACTTGCATGTATTTGGGAAGTAACAGATTAATTTACACGATAAATCCTGCATCTTACACCTTTATGAATGAGGCAAACACGCGGCATCAAGTAAACATAGCCACGCCCATCTCACGTTTAAGATCATTTATACAGTCTATTAAAAAACAAAATACACACACGTTTATGTGAATTGGAACATCAGGCAGTTGATGACATGATGAGCAAGCGTGTGAATATGTTGCTACATATCGAATCATTTTTATTGTCGATACTGACAATGGTGTCCGGTCAATAAGTATTGATAGCGATTTTATCGCCCATCCTTAGTTGTCCAAGTTATTAACTTTTGAATCTGCTTTTATTTTTACGTTTACAGTAGCTATGTTTCCATCTAGAAATGCTAATTTACTTTATGCGCAAAACTAGATAATTAACTGGATTATTATAAGACGTGCGAATAAAGCAGCGTTTCCATACAATAAATCAAAGTGAACTAAATTGTCACTTCCTAATTATCTGGCGCCAAATATTATAGTAAAAACAGAATTTGCTGCTTGAATCCTTTCTTCATTTAATAAACGACTTGCGCCTCAGAAGGAAATCCCGACACGCAGTGAGCGCGCAGTGGCATTTGAAGGCGTGAGACGCGGAGCACAGAAGATCTTGATTCTGAAGGTCATTAATAATATAATAACACTAATACTGCAATGGTTAAGGTGTTTTAGAATGTGGTCAGCCTGCTGGTTTGTCCATTCGCACACATTTTTATCATCACATTGCTTATAACAAAATCACATGACCTTTTAACGCGCATACTAGAATTTGTTATGTAAAAGTGTTTCCATTGTAGTTTATGCACATCTTTTCTTATCGAATAAAAAGTTTATCATACTCAGTTATGTGCATATGTTTTTATGCAAATTTTCAAAATGTATCTGCACCCTGGCATGTCCATCAACCGATTTTTAAGCGGATATCCAAAATGCTCATAAAAATAGGTGGATGGAAACATAGCTAGGGACACTATACATGACCTGATTACAATGTCACGGGGCATTCCCACCCAAATTTCCATTATTCAAGTAGGGTCATTCAGTGGCAGTCATCGATTTACTAGCTTGCAATGGATCGATTTAAAATTTTTCAAGTAGGTTAAACTAGTACTTTTACCATAGTTCCAAAATCGTAAAATAAAGGACTCAAGTTAAAAATGCAAATATCAAAATGTAGCTTTAATTCTGTCAGATTTTTTTTGATCAGTTCTTCAGCAATGCTGAGCTCAGGGATCTTGGGCTTAAAAGATTGGTGACTACTGTATTAGAGCATCATGCTGCTGATTTAGTAACATGAACTCTATTGCAATCATTCGTGTGCCGTGTCATGTATACTCGCGGAAGGAGTATTATTTTGGGTGTCACGCAGCTGCTGTGAGACCTTTTCCCATACAGACTGCAGTCAGCAAGGAAGCTCATTAATCTTTGGAGAGTGATTCAGACTAGAGCGGAAGGGAAGATGAGTACCTGGGGAAGATGAATGCCCTCAAAGGAGATGCCATGCTCCTCGGAGGAGGTGGTCTCTGCAAAGAGCTCCAGCAGGGTGTAGCGGTTATCAAAGTCCATGTGCTGCTCGATGCCGTCCTGCTGGCTGAGAGACAGGAGCACATAGGCACGACTCCCTGAAAGAGAAACGGAATCCTTAACACTGACTTTTTTACGGGTTGATTTCTTCAAACTGTATTCATTTATAATTGTATTATTATACAATTTGTAGTAACATAACAAAAAAATAAATAACAAATCAAGATACACTGCATGTCTATAAAAGAGTCACCTGGATTTAACTAAGCAAATAGGTAGCCTGCCATTGGATGACTGCTGCATGTATGATTATGTTTCAGATGGTGATGAGTTATTTAATCTTTACTGATGCAGAGAGTAACTTCTCTTTTTGTAAACTGCCGTCTTGAACGATGCATCCAGTGGTCGTAGAAAGGTATGATCAGTTTCAGAGGGGTCAAATTATTGGCGTGCCTCAAGCAAAGAAAACCTGTAAGAAAATGACTGAAACTACTAAAATTGCGTTAAGAACTGTCTAACATGTTTTTAAAAACTTAAAAGATAGTGGGGAGCTATCATCTTTGTGGAAGAAATGTGGCAATTAAGTGACTGGGATTAAAGAGCTGTGTAGCATTAAAAAAAAACAATTATCGGTGAGGTTAATAGGGGGAGCAGTTTATTCCATCAATGGATTTTTTCTTCCCTGAAGGCCAAGTATTATTAAACAATGCCAATGCTAGGATCCCTCAGGTTTAAAATGGTAAGAGTGGTTCAGGAAGCACCTTCTTTTTTTTTTTTCTACACATGGACTGGGCACCACAGAGTCCTGACCTTAACCCTATTGAGAATATTTGATGATGAATACAAAATCATGGCAAAAAATGAATGCAACTATTGATGGGAGTAAATGTTACATTTGACAAATGCTTGTCGAAATCAAAGCTAAAAGCAGTCCAACAAAACCTTTATTAGACAGGCAGTGTACTAAAAAGGTACAATAATATTACACATTATAATTATGCATTTGCCATATGCTCATCTGTAAAACACAACTGAGTGTTAAACACAAATATAGGCATAATTTAACACTTGTAAACCTTAACAAAAACAGAAACAGATGCAGAGAGACACACAAAAACTCACTTAAAATTGGACAACAAGGAACATAGAGAAAAAAAAGAAATGTTTAAAGAATTGATCTATTCCAATCTTGGCAAAAAGTAAACAGTGCTAATACATGGCTCAGCTTATGGGTAAACAAAGAAAAGTCATACTAAAATAACGATAGATAATTACTATAATAAACTGTTGTGCAGAATAACTAACCTTGACCAATACTAAATGTTAGCATTTTTTTAAAGGCTTGACTGGGGTTAAACAACTAGAGAAACAATGGCAATTGACACAAAACCTATTAGTTATCATATGATCAACAGCATTTACAGTGACATGACCAACAACAATTGTGCCAATTCCTAAATGTTCTTCTCAGAAACTACTTTTTGTCAAACCATCTAGTCCAAGACCATACACATTCAGCTTATGTTTACAAAGTTTCAGCAGAGTACAGAACACCATAGTCAGTAGTCATCATGGTGGTTTAAGAAATGTGTGAACATGAACATAAGAAATGGCACGTGCAATACTACAGACAGTTAATTCAATGTTTAACAACCACCTCCTAAGAAGCATTATAAAGTTTCAAGAAACTGAAAGTGTACCATCTAAACATTGCTATGTTTGCTTAAGGACTGGTCTGTCATGGCAAATTCTGGTTAAACCACAGAGCAGGATTTTGGGATGGGATTACTACCTTAAACCAACGGCAAAGAGGAAAACGAATCAAAACATACAAAGTGCAAACAGACCGTTTTTCCAACTAGAACCGTGTAGTAGTTTTTGCTTTTATGCTGTTAACATGAATATTCAGAAAATGAATCATTCCAGAATGTTTACATTATTATAAATGTAGTAATAACAATGAAACTAATCATCTGATACTAAAAACTGTTTTATTAAACAATATAATAAAACAATATTATTACAGTATCATACAAGTTTGTATAGAAAAATGGTGTGTGCTCGTTCTGTGAACCAACTATCATTTTATTATGCATATTGATAGAGCAATGAAAGTTTTGGGTACAGACGCAAAAGTCAAAAAGTCAAAATGATCCCCTTTAACATAGATCGGTAAAAAAATAAACTATTATGCAATGCCTGTAGTTGGCAATGTCATTATATAAATGAGCTCTACACACACGTACACATAAGCGGTCTATAGTTATTGTTGTTTTGGTCGTTAATAGGGTTGTGCTATTTAACGTGACAACTGTGCTATTGAAGTAGCAGGACACCACTAAAGAATTTTTAAAAAAATCATTACACACACAAGTCACTGACAATGTTTGGTTTAAAAAAAGGAATAACACTTAGCTTGGCTGTTGGCATATGAACAACACTCTCACTGAGCTGTCAGTGAGACTCACAAGAACTCACTCTCTCCACACACAGCATTATGACTTAAAAGGATATAGTATAGATGGGATTTTAAAAAAACAAAAGAACATGTGGAAATGGCACAAGTTCAAGAACTTCAGTTTGGGATTCTTTTTGATGAATTGCCCAGCCATATTTGAATGTTATTTTGGACCTAAAAATAGATTATACAATAGCAACATATTTAGGGATGGGTACCGAAACTCGGTAGTCAGTACTTTATCGGTACTTCATTATAAAAGACGAAAGTATTGACAAGTTCTTATGTTAACAATTTTGCTATAGGTACTGGAGAGTTATTGTTGAATTAATATTACTTACATTAGTTTTTCCTCTAGGATTTTTTCCAGCTGTGTTAGCCAGGACAGGCATTTTCTACACAGATCTATTAATTACCTATACCGTTATTTCAATGACAAATGTCGTGAGCGCCATATTACAAGTCGATATCGCATTCATGTAATATAAGCATGCAAATTTCTTAGCGATTTCCTCTGCTCATGCAAAAAACTTAAAACCAAAATATGACCTTTTTTAATGTATATGTATAATAGGGGCTCTTTAATTAATACAAAGTGAAACTTTGGTGGCACAAACTAGATTGTGGTGGGCTGAATTACAAACAAACTACTTAAATTGGCCTAAATTAAAGTGTTGCAGGAGACAAGGACTTATGTGACTCACTGTTGAGAGACAAAGAGGAAGGTATGGATACTGCAGAAAAGTAATATCTTGGTTTTAAATATTTCAGTATTCATAATTTTGACAACAATACCATAAAGCATAGGAAACAATGTAATTTGGTTACTTTCTGGCAATAATTCAAGTCATTAATGTTCTCATAGTAAATATTTGAGCATCTCAGAGTGACTTCTTTATATTACATTATCTCAGTACTTTAACATTACTCAGTACAAAAAGTCATATTATATTTCTACAAGTACTGCTAATATACTGTTTGAATAAATCCCCAGGCTTGCATACGCCCAAATATGTGTGGTCAGTGACTAACACAAATGCCTCAACCCAATCAGAGGAACTAGAGATGAATAAGCACATCCTGTGAAGGAGTATGAATAAGAGTCAAAAGAATGAGAGAAGGAACTGGAAGTCCCCCTTCCTAGAGGGTCCATTACCAACATTTCCCTATTTGACAAAGAAAAACTGCAATAATCGTACTAAAAGCAACATTTAATAACTTTAGCTTTTTGAGTCCTGCAAGTTCTTATTTTGTAAATTGTTAAAAGACAAAACATCTCCACAACCTGGCGACAACTTTTTAATAAAGCATCTCCTTTATTTCAATTTTTGTAGGACATCATCACAGTGAGCAGATTTTAGTCGCACAAAGAAATGCTAGTAATGCACAGAGAATGGCTGATTCCAATTTTTTGAACTAACAGATTGGCCGATTCGCTATCGATCTCTGACTTCAGAAGTGCTTTTCCTCATGAGCATTTGCGTGTACAATTAAAAACTAGCTAAGAGCGGCATCTGCTGTTAAAAACTAGCCTAGTGCCACTCTGCTGTTAAAAACTAGTCTAGAGCACCATTTACTGTTAAAAACTAGCCTAGGGATATATATTGTTAAAAACTAGCCTAAATATGATTGCCAGAATCGTAGAAATGCTAGATTAAGATCGTCTCGGGGGTCGAATCGAGATCGCGATCTTTTTTCGATTAATCGTGCAGCTCTACTAGAGCACCATCTACTATTAAAAACTAGCCTAGAAAAAACTAGCTAGTTTAGCCTAGAACAATATCTGCTGTTAGAAACTAGCAGTGTCATCTACTATTATGGCGAATCTACCATTAAAAAACAGCCTAGATTGCCATCTGATGTTAACCTGGAGCACCATGTGTTGTTAAAAACTTGCCTAGAGTGCCATCTTCTGTTAGACTAGAGCATTATCTAATGTTAAAAACTTGCCTAGAGCACCATCTGCAGTTAACAACTAGCCTAGAGTACCATTTACCGTTAAAAACTAGCTTAGAGCGCCATATACCATAAAAAAAGCCTAAATCGCCAACTGCCATTAAAAACTAACCTAGAGCACCATCTGCTGTTAAAAACTAACCTATAGCGCCATCTACCATTAAAAAATAGCCTAAATCGCCAACTGCCATTAAAAACTAACCTAGAGCACCATCTGCTGTTAAAAACTAACCTATAGCGCCATCTACCATTAAAAAATAGCCTAAATCGCCAACTGCCATTAAAAACTAACCTAGAGCACCATCTGCTGTTAAAAACTAGCCTAGAGCACCATTTGCCTCTAAAAATGGGCCTAGAGCACCATCTGCTGTTGAAAAGTAGCCTATAGCACCATCTGCTGTTAATAACTTGCCCAGAGCACCATCCGCTGTCAAAAACTAGCCCAGAATCGACTCAAAAGTGAACAGCGATGCATTTTGAGAATGTCAGAATCAATTTCTTGAATTACTTTTTTGGCACAACTCTGTTACTCTCTAAAATAAGATGGAAAACATTACAGAGCATAATTTGGTCTTCTCAAAGAATCAGCTCGATCTACAGACACCGCCAACACCCTGTGCTGAGAGTGCTGTGACAGTCTCTGCCCTTCACTGATGACTCACAATCCCCAATACTGAACAGCTCACTGGCGGGAAAACAGCTTCATTAAACTTACAGTGTGGTCTGAAGCCAATACAGTGAGTCTTTAGTTAACAAGCCACAATAAACTCCATTTCGCTACAATCCATATGCACTTGAATGTGCAAATGATCATGTGGCGAAAACAAAAAAGACATCGGTTTGATCTCCTGGTTCAGAATCAGAGATTGAGGCCACTTCTATTAGTAGTTCTGAATCAATACATGCAATAAGAGAATTAAATTTATATATGTCAATATTAAAATATAAAGATATTATTAAATATTATTTTATTAGTCAATTATTTAGAAACCCAAAAAGCACTGTTTATTTAACTTTAGCTCGTTCGTAAATTTATATGATTGTAATTTCTTATGTTTTATAAAGATACACTGCATAGAAAAAGACTTGATCACCCCAGTCGAGCTTTTTATTGAAATCTTTCCAAATAGAGCCAGTCAAATTACTTGATGGGATTATATTCATATTGCAACGAAACAAAATATTGCAATGTCAGATTTTTCCAATATCGTGCAGCTAGGCATTGAACGATAACCGTTTTAAGGGTATACCAAGGTTTGGAAAAGTCAAGGTTTTAAAACCGTCAAAATTTTCTGCAATACCGTTCCTAAGGTATGTGTAAGATGTTTTATCTACATTTTTTTGTTGTTGTTTTTAGTACTACAGTATCTCCGGCAGAAAAGATATCCAAAGATGCCATTTTAAATTGTAATTAAGACAAATGAAGACAGCAGGAGTTGTCTTTTTATTACTTAGCCTGACAGGTTTAATGTTCCCAAATATTATAAATGTTTCTCAAAATTTAATTATATTACGTTCAAATGGGGGGCGGGGTAGTTTTTTTTTTACCCAGACATTTAAAAAGAATTTATTTTAGAGCAGTAATCACAATACCCCGTAACCATGATATTTTTATCCAAGATTATCATACCCATATACTCATACTTGTATATAACATTTTGAAAGCATTATAAATAATATGCAAAAATATTATATATAAATGTCATCAAATTAGGGAGGAGGTCACTTTTGTTATATCTATTAATCAGAAATATATTTCATATGTTTATTAAGCAAGGCTCGACAATATGGTTTGCCCAATGGCAAAGAAATAGCTATTAACTTCTTTTTTTGGTGGGGCCAGTAGAAAAAATACTTAGCGTTGAACTAGAGCTGCACAATTAATCGTAAAAAGATCACGATCTCAATTCGACCCCCTAGACGATCTTAATCCAGCATTTCTACGATTGTGTCAATCATATTTTCAAGTTCAGGAGAGAAGCAACGGTGGCCGCACAAGTCTTCACATTGTTTTACATCCGTTGTTAAGCAACGTGGACACCTCCAAATGGTGTTGAAAGAGTCACATACTGTATTTATAAGATATAATTCACCTCAAAAATGTAATTTCTGTCTTCATGTAATGCATTTGCGACCGCAAAATCACACGTGACGTGAGCTGACCATCAGCTGTTACCAGAGGGAAGGCGGGCGGATGAGAGCGCGCCTCTGAATGAAGTTTACTTTAGTGAACAGGTCCTGCATAGGCTGTGAATTACAGGTAATAATGTTGTAAATAACATTCAGTTTGTGGCACAGAGTGATCGTTTGGGAGCCGCGCTGGACGTAAACCGCTCTTAGCAGTGAAAATGAAACCGAAAGCGCGCACAGTGTTGCCAGATGTAGCCGACTGACTCCAGCCCAAACAGTATCCAAAACCCACCAAAATTCGAAAAATACCCACCAAGTCGTCTTTATTCACGAAAATTACGTCAGTGACAGATTTTAAGCAGAAAATGACAGATTGTAAGCATATATCTCAAACACAAAAATTCAACATCGGAATTATCATTAGCATTAATGACCAGGACAAATCTAAAGTCTGTTCAAGTCCACCATTCCAAGTCAATACAAAATTTAGCATTTTAACCAACAGTACAGCAACACAAAGCCTATTGCTGTTTTACTACATGTTTGAGAATAACAATAACAATAGCCCACTCATATTAATCAATATTTTACATCTACAGAATGTTGAGAAAATCGTGAACTTTATTTTAGGCAAAAAAGAAAAAGAAAAATTGCGATTCTCATTTTAGCCAGAAATGGCAGCTCTACGTTAAACCCTGTTAAGTATGCTTAAAATCAAATTTCACCAACCCTTTGACATTCAGTGTCTCAAAAACAGGATGTATTACATAAGTCGGACCATTTACAATCTTAGCACTTTACAAATAATAATAAAAATAAATAAATATCAGCACACAAAAAAAAAGAGAGCATCAATTATAAAAGTAAAGTCTAATATATTAGCCACCACAACTATATTTTTCAGGGAGAGTTTCTTTAGTGTTTCATTTCACTCAAAGGAAACTCCCTAGGAAGTGAGAAGAGTTTTGCTTAAAACCACTGGAAACAACCACTCAAACACAGCACTGCAGAATATCCAAAGGATGACAGTCGATAGACAGTGTAATAAAGACTTACCGGCATCATGAGAAGCCAAGGCTCGCAACATCTTGCCAGCGCTGCGCCTGGTTTGTCGCTCCTTGTTGCAGAGCAGTTCCATGAGCAGGTCGAGAGCTCCAGTCTCCTTGAAGACTCCTACTAGTGAGCCGATACTGGCATAGGCGCTCAGCACGTGGATGGTGTGCGTGATGCTTATACCGAAGTCGCTGTTCTTGGCCATTTGCTTCCGGGCACGCCGCACCAGATTCTTCACGTCATCTTTCATGTCTGACAATTCTCCCTCATCAAAGGTGACATCTGCAGGAAACTGGCCGCTAGGACGCTCCTCTTCCTCCAGCAGAGGCCTCTGGGAGTCCGCCTTGCGCTTGCCTAGGAGAGTGGGGCAGTTGGCGTAGACGTCTTCGGTGGACATCCACATGAGGATGCTCTCAGTCTTGCTCTCTCCGGAGGTGGAGCCGCTGGATCCACCGACTCCTGAACTGCTGCCGCTACCGCCGCTCGCCTCATTGCTGCAGCCTGAACTGCTGCTGTCCTCCACGGTCAGAAGACTCCAGCGGATCAGATACTCCGTCTGGCCGTCGTGAGTCCTCCGCTGGCGGATAAGCTCCTCTGGGTAAGCCTGCAGCTTCGGGCCCAGCTGAACCAGCAGGTTTCCATTGCGGCGCTCACCCACCATGGTAGCTGTAAATGTAAAGTATCAACATTTCAGATTATATGAACAACCCAAATGCCCCAAAGGTCAACTGTTTCAAAATATATGTTGCATAAACTTCCTGTTTGAGCAATTGCATACACCGGTATCTCACATTTAGTCTTCTATTTCAATCCAATGAGATCTTTCATCATTCTTGAACTAAATTTACATTTAGTCATTTAGCAAGTTTCGTCCAACGCGACTAACAATAAAGGAGGCAGTCGGTGATTCATCAAGAAGAGGCAGTATCAGGGCTCGAAATAGCAACTGCTTAGTCACATATGCACCTGAAATTTTATCTATGCGACCTCAAAATATATTTGGGAGCATTTGTGCGAGTGCATAAGTTTGTAGTAAACCAGTTTTCACTGCAAAATATTCACTGCATGCGCAGATTAAGGAGACATTCACACAGATTGCATCTTTGCACCTAAAAATGCTTGATAATAGTTTAAAACAGTAGTTCTGTCAACTTTCTACAGTAAACAAATCCCGCAATCCCACCTTCAAGCTCGGATTGGTGCACGGTTCTAGAACTGAACGCGAATGGATTGGTTAATATCAGCCGTCAATCATTCAGTCAATGCTATCTGCCTTCAGATGACAGAGAGCTACAGCCCCGAAAATGTAATGTGCTGAAGATGAGTGAATGAAAAGCACACTGACAGATTTTATTTTAAAAACCACTTAAAGTTACAAAAAAATGACACAGCTGATTAATGATACACTTTACGAAGAGTGGATAAGACTTTTAAAAGTATTTACTGTGAAGTCTGTGTGACAAAGTTTTCAGGATACAGTGTTAGCCACTGACATTTTAAGCATGGGATGTTCTATTTAATCCATTTAATCGTCAGGATGATTTTAAATGCAATAAATCTGTTAATATAAAACTTTTAGTAACCATGCTCATAATTCCTGGTGGGTGCGACTAAATTTTGGCTGGTGCGACCACATTTTTAAAGTTAGAAGCACCAGTGCTACCAAGCAAAAATGTTCAGTTTGAGCCCTGAGTATACACAGGAAGTGTTAAGGAGGAACTGTTACCCCTCAGGAGTCTGAGATAATTTTGGGGCCCCTGAGATGTTTTGACATGCCCTGACATGTTTATAGTTTATTTCAGCTACTTATTACATTGTACTGGCCAACATGTATTTTTTTTATTCAGCACAGACTGTTCTTCAATAATATGTGAGAAATATTGATGTACATAAATGCGTTTTTTAAGAAAAAAAATATTATTCGTGGTTAGTAAGTTTTGGAGAAAAAAGCGTAGCTGAAATAAGGTCTACTAAATGTGCCTGAACAAGAATTTTGAGTAACCACATTTGCAGGCTAGAATATTAACTTCCCATTTATGTGAAATATACTAAATATATCCGTTTGGAAAAGCTGTTTTGTTTAAATGCACTAAAATACACTGCCTATTGACCTCTTTCTAAAATGCGGAAGTGCACCCGTTTTTGCGATTGTTTTAGAACTTAAGATTAAGTCGCCTACCGGAGAAATAACATGGAATAATTAACGTCAGAAAAGGGTCAAACTACTTGCTGTACAAACAAGTGTTTGCATGACTATACAGACCAAGTAGAATAATATAATAAGAAAATCTAAGTTTGCAACATCAAGCAGCATAACGACCTGGTTTTAACGTCTATAAATGAATGGAAGTAAATGAGACCGGACGTCTCGAGCCAAAAAGATTCAAATGGCTCCGCCTGCTCGTACATGAAGAATTAGGTGAGAAATGGATCAAAATATTCATTTTTAAAATGGGCTGTACTCAATTATGCTTTTTAAAAGGTCAGTTTTACAAAAAATGTGAGAGACTGATAAGACCATTTTCATTTTATAATATAATTTTCAATTTATAATTTTAACTAATATAAAGCTAAGCTATAAATCACAACTATAATCCTAAAATATTTCAGTAATCCATCCATATGATCAGGCATCATTAAGAGAATATTTGATGCTAAATTGTCATTTTTGTCATTAATAACAACAGTCTTCAATTGAGACAACCAGTTTAAACAATGAAAAGATTTATTTAAAGATTCTCATATACAGAAATCAATGCACAATTCAAGCACATCAAAACTGATAAACAGAAACTCAACCCTTCATGCTTGACATGCAATAAGATTAGTTCTTATGTCAACATACGCTTAAGCTTTTGTTTATTTCTTCATTATCATGTTTGATGTTTTACTGCTGCAGTAAAATTTTTAAAGTTTCAAAAGTTGTGCACATTTACATTGAGCCATATTTATTTGCATTTTGAGTGGGGCATTCATGTTTTATTCAAATATGCGCTTTATCAATATTTGCCTTTCATACACGAACGGATCGTTCATACATTTGGAATGACATCAGGGCAAAACGATCTCAAAGATCAGCATGAACAGGCTTGCAGTGCTATATTAAAACTTCAGATTTAATGTATTGATAAAACATATTTTAGAGCAGCGGTTACCAACAGGGGGCTCCCGGCCCACAAGGGGGCCTCAGTGAGCTCTTTTTTTACAATTAGCAGTGGACAATTAGGAGAATACGGAACCCCAGAAGGGACGTAGTGGAGGAGAAAAAAATTGGCTGGGAGAAAAAAATATAATGGGTGAAAGAAAAAAATGGGTGGGAGGAAAATATATATTTCTAAGTTTTGGCGTTCCCTCGCAAAGATGTTTTGCGTTCCCTCGCAAATTTTGCGTTATCTTGCAAAGATGTTTTGCGTTCTCTCGCAAAACTGTTTCTCCACAAACACTTCCTGTTCACTGCACTCACGTAAACCCTCCCGTTTTTGCCGATATTCTCCCGTATTTTACCATTCTACCCCACTTTCTTTACATTACTGTGCTTTCATATGCTACCTCTGAACCAGTGAATGCATGTATAAGCGCTGACTGACAGACGCGCTCAATACAATAAACTGATCCCAGATCAGCGTCGTACACGACATTTACAGAGGAGCGGGTGTATGTTTAAACAGACAAATAAACTAATAATATGAAACATCTCCGTCCTGCATGTTTTATTTTAAACAGCTTATTTTCTCTTAAATTAACAGTTTCTAAAGTAATGGACTGCTTTCATTATAGATCTGTGCATTCTTACAGAGACACCTCTGTTATCAAACTAAAAACATGAGATTCATTTGCTGCTCACTTGTTTGATAACAGAAGTGTCCCTTTAAATGGCGCGCACAGACGCTGATCTGGGATCAGTTTATTGTACGAAGCGCGTCTGTCAGTCAGCGCTTGCATGCATTCACTGGTTCAGAGGTTGCAAAGTGAAAGGCAACGATTAGCGCACAGTAATGTAAAGAAAGTGGGGTAGAATGGTAAAATATGGGAGAATTTCAGCAAAAATGGGAGGGTTTACGTGAGAAGTGAAGTGTACAGGAAGTGTTTGTGGAGAAACAGTTTTGCGAGAGAACGCAAAACATCTTTGCAAGGGAACGCAAAACAACTTTGCGAGGGAACGCAAAACAACTTTGCGAGAGAATGCAAAAACTTAGAAATATATTTTCCTCCCACCCATTTTTTTCTTTTACCCAATAGTTTTTTTTCACCCAGCCAATTTTTTTCTCCTCCACTACGTCCCTTCCGGGGTTCCGTAGGAGAATGATCATGTTGCCTTAGTTAATTTAATCCCCTGGCTGACCAAAAAAATTGACAAATTTTTAATTCGTCCTCCACAAAAAAAGACTCACTGTGATTTACCTTCAGCAGCTAATACTAATGACCAAAGCATACTGAACCCAGATGAGGAAGCTCCAAACATTTCGGGTGGCAGCGCTAGCAATATTGCAAACACGAAATGCAGGAAATACCAAGATAGTTACCTGACCTATGGTTTTATTCCATTTTCTTGAAGCAAAGAGTCCCTGACCTAGCCACAGTGCGTTATCTGCGTTATCTCTTGCTAACGAATGCATGAGGTCGTCCAAATTAATAAGAAATTTGCATATGACTCATCCCCAATACCACGACAAACCCACAGAATTTTTGGAGCGCAAGGCAAAAGAATTGACACACACCCAAAATGAGATGAGGGCAAGCAATATACAGCCAATTTCAAGGCCAAAGGTTTACGTTTGTCAGGTACAAATGTTCTACTGATGTTTTGCTTTTATATTTTACATTAGGCTATTATTTATGCATGAACCTATCTAGATATAGTAATAAATATACAGTTTGTTTGAAAACAAAATTTTTTGTCATCCTTACTGCAAACTTATATGAGCGATAACATCATTAAATATGCCTTACAACTGTTTCCAGGGGAAAAGGGGGTCTCAGGCAAAATAGGTTGGGAACCACTGTTCAGATAGAGGTAAAGTCGGTTTAACATTAAGATATTCAGACATTCTCCTTAAATAACATTTCATAAAAGTATTCTTTGCTAATTCTAAATAGGGAAATCATATAAGCTGCCATTTATTATTAAAGTACACCATTGTTTACAGTCATTTAGATAGTGTTAATGTTGTTTTGAAGACATACTTACATGCTAATTCCGATTGAATATTCAAAGTCACATAGTAAACAATATAGACTTCTAAATGAACAAATGTGCAAATATAAAACCAACTTTAGCTCTGTTTTTAGAGGATGGCTTTGGAATGCCATAACAATGAGTTAATGATGACCATGCACATTTTTGAGTGAACTAACCCTTTAAGATTCAATAGTTTCAACACACATAAGACAAAACTATAGTGCTAGGAGGTTTTTCTGTAATCACGAAAGTGATTTTGAGACCTAAAAAGACAGTTCTCGCATTATTTACTACTCACCATCGTATTGTTCCCATTCCCACATCTCCTTTTGAGTCACACAGGTTTGAAATGACACGACGACCAGTAACGTTAGGCTACGTTAAACGATGACAGCCGTTTCACTTTAGGGAACTTGTGTTATTTTAGGACACGTTAGCGTTATTTTTGTGAACAAATCTCAAAGTTTACAACAAAGTCTAATGCATTTACACAGTTTCTATGCCACCCTACGCTTAAACTAAGTCCGTTAGGTTTCACAGCTGCTGTCAGTCAGTCCGCTAGCGATGCTGCTAGATAGCAACATACACACACACACACACGGGCCTGATGTGTTCACCGGGTTTTATTCGCGCTGCACGGACGTTTCACTAACCTCAGTTAACTCTGTGCTCACAACTGATGGCGTTTAAACCCTTCAAGCCGAGCAGCTTTTCTCTCGTGATGCGGTAAAAGCAAATAGCTGAGCTGAGAAAGTGCGCATTAGCGCTAACATCAACACTGAAAGCCGCCAACGCGACGCGGCTAGTCAAACTGAAACTAGCGTGCACGATTACGCTGTAAAGAGTGAAAGCAGCGTGAACTAGCTTCGTATAGTATATTGTCAGCGTTCGAGTTAGCTGTGTCTCGTCGCTAGCATGGTACATATGCCGCGACTAGCTGTCAGTGCGGCCTTTTATGTTAAAAAGACATTAAAAAGCTCGGAGTGAGCTCCAGAACTGCGCCCTGATTACCTCCGGTGTTGCAGGGCCTCCCCTCCTTCACGACTTTCCCCCTGGGTGGATGGAGTTTTCTTCTCCGTGGTAGCGTTTCGTTTCCCAGCCTGAAGACGTTGTTTGCTGCCTGTTGTACAGTTGAGTGTAGTCCCAGTCCTGCTTCCTGTGAAACAGGTACGATTCAGCTCGACTGTGCGCCAACGTCTGGATGCAGACACGCATTACTGCTCTCTACAGGCATGGAGGGACTACAGTTGTTATGGTCACGTGGCTGTAAAAGTTTTTGACATAATAAATGTGTGTATTATGTATACAGTATTTATTATGTACACACACATTTTGTAATATACACGAGGAAGACTTATCTCATCTTTTCTATAACTGTGATGTCTCTCTTACATGTTGGAATGATGTTAGTGACGTGTTATTTTGGCAAAGAAATGTTAATTACAGGCTAAATCTAAATGTCATTTACACTTTTTCACACACCAAAAGAACATTCGAGTATGTTGTTAACTTCTACATCTTACAAGGTAAATATTTTATTCATAAACAGAAATTTGTGAAATCTATACTAAAATGAAATATCTTTTTATTAGAAATGGAAACTTTGAAAAAGTCTCAAAAAGAGTGATTTAATGTTAGATTTCATGAAGGAATTGTTCTCTGGTACTAATCCCTCGCTGTAGTCGATGATTGTATCCTAAGTTCTTATTTTTGTTTATATGTATGTATGCGTGTGTGTGTGTGTATGTGTGTGTGTGTGTATGTGAATGTGTGTGTGTGTATGTGAATGTGTGTGTGTGTGTGTGTGTGTGTGTGTGTGTGTGTGTGTGTGTGTGTGTGTGTGTGTGTGTGTGTGTGTGTGTTTTGAAATACTTTTTTCCCCCCACACCTGTTATGTTTTTGCTTCATTATCATTTCTGGATATAGCATATATCTTAATTTGTATTATTACTTTAGGTAATGTTTCAAAGCTTATAATACATTTTTTTAAAGTATTTATTATGTATATGTAACATATGCATAAACAAAACCAATTTTCTAACATAGATATTTCATTTGTACCATATATTTTATATCTAAATCATGGGTGGTTATTTTTTGTCTGAAAAACTGAACCGTTTTGTAGTTATTTGCCTCATTTTGTATTTCAATCATTTTCTTTTTGGCTTCGTCACTTTATTAATCCGGGGTCGCCACAGCGGAATGAACCGCATTGTAATTAATTATGAGTAGGGCCAGACAGAATCTGAGGACATTTTTTGCTATTTCTGTGCAGAGATTGATAATAAATCTGCGGATTTATGCGGAATGATTTTGGGAGTATCGTAATGTAAAAACTTAATATATGAAATAACAAATAATATCCTTTTAACTTTTATTTAATTTTTACAATCCAAATCCAATAGATACACTTATTTGTGAAACAAAGCAAGTCTCTCATATAATATAAATTAATAAATATTAATTTACAAACTGTTTTTAAATAAATTATATGAACATTTTCATATTAGTCAGTACTATTATCGAAATTAAATAAAAAAAACTGAATCAATATAAACTTACACATATTTATACAAGTAAATAATAAGACTCAATGATGGGTATAAATGTTGCATTTTAGTCACATATTAAAAACTACATTTTGCTGGATTGACTTGTCGGATGGTTATAATAACCCCACTTTTTGACCATAGTATTTTACTATTTTAAGTGTTTATTTACAAATGTGCATTTAAACTGTAAGCTTTATATTGCAGTTTTATGATTAATGAAAATATTTAGAATTAGAGCTTAGAACGTTCAATTCTCAGAATAAAGAAATATGAAAAGATACTCATTTTTAAATACAAATCTATTATCATCACCTATCATTATATTTTTAATATAATTAAAAACCTAAGCCTAAAGACAAATAAAAAACTGGCTAATACATGCACGTTCAACTTTCCTCAGTCAGAATTTGGCCATTTGAATAAAAAGAAGAATGCAAACATAAAAATAATAATCCAACTTTTGGTCTTTCAAACCACATGACCCCCCTTTGGGTACAGGCCTGACTATTTAATTTAACTTAATAAATTGTATGAAGAGCGGATTCACTAATATTATTTTTTAATAGCAGTTCAATAATTAATAGATGATGGATGGATGGATGGATGGATGGATGGATGGATGGATGGATGGATGGATGGATAGATAGATAGATAGATAGATAGATAGATAGATAGATAGATAGATAGATAGATAGATAGATAGATAGATAGATAGATAGATAGATAGATAGATAGATGGATGGAAAGATAGTAGATAGATAGATAGATAGATAGATAGATAGATAGATAGATAGATAGATAGATAGATAGATAGATAGATAGATGGATAGATAGATGGATGGAAAGATAGATGGATAGATAGATAGATAGATAGATAGATAGATAGATAGATAGATAGATAGATAGATAGATAGATAGATAGATAGATAGATAGATAGATAGATAGATAGATAGATAGATAGATGGATAGATAGATGGAAAGATAGATAGATAGATAGATAGATAGATAGATAGATAGATAGATAGATAGATAGATAGATAGATAGATAGATAGATAGATAGATAGATAGATAGATAGATAGATAGATAGATAGATAGATAGATAGATGGAAAGATAGATGGATAGATAGATAGATAGATAGATAGATAGATAGATAGATAGATAGATAGATAGATAGATAGATAGATAGATAGATAGATAGATAGATAGATAGATTGATTGATTGATTGATTGATTGATTGATTGATTGATTGATTGATTGATAGCTGGGTCAGTTGGCATTTCTGTGTGTAGTTTGCATTTTTTCCCATGCTGGCGTGGGTTTCTTCTGGTTGGCCGTAGTGTATGTGGATGAATGTGAGAGTGTATAGGTGTTTCCCAGTACTGGGTTGCAGCTGGAAGGGCGTAAGGTTAACATATCCTGGATAAGTTGGTGGTTCATTCTGCTGTAGCGACTCCTGATGAATAAAGGGACTTAGACGAAGGAAAATTAATGAATGAATACTGTTTTTGATTATCAAAATGAATCTCTCTTTCTCTCTCTCTTTCTCTCTCTCTCTGTCTCTCATTTCAGTTCATTTGGCATGAGTATTGCTAAAAAATTTCCGATTAACATACACAATGAATAAAATCGTAAAGTGATTTTGATAAATACATAAGAAAGAAAACAGATACTAATTATAAACAGGTGTCAGGGTGGCGCAGTGGGTAGCATGACCGCTTCACAGTAAGAAGGTCGCTGGTTCGAGCCTCGGCTCGGTCAGTTGGTATTGGGAGTTTGCATGTTCTCCCCATGTTGGAGTGGGTTTCCTCTGTGTGCTCCGGTTTCTCTCACAAGTCCTTGTGTATGTGTGTGAATGAGTGTGGAAGGGCATCCGCTGGATAAGTTGGTGGTTCATTCCGTTGTGGCGACCCCAGATTAATAAAGGGACTAAGCCGAAAAGAAAAAGAAAAGAACGGTAAATTAATTAACATTTATTAATTATAAACATAAAATGTTATTAGTGACGGCTCGGTGGCTTAGTGGTTGGTGCTGTTACCTCACAGCAAGAAGGCCGCTGGTTCAAGTCTGGGTCAGTTGGCATTTCTGTGTGGAGTTTGCGAGTTCTCCCAGTATTCAAAAATGAGGGAATGAATGAATTACTGTTCTTCCTTTGCTCTTGTGTAACTACATTCCAGTTGTCTTCTACTTTTGAAACACAGGATGGCAGTGTTGCAGTTGAGAGGTGTGAAAATAAGAAATACTCACTTGACCAGCCTTGCCAGGCTTTGTGCCCAGCCAAAACCAGCTATGTCCAGCTTTAACCAGGCTGGTCAAGCTGGTTTTAGCTGGATTTAGCTGGTCATTTTCCAGCCTGACCAGCTAAGACCAGGCTTGAAATGGCTGGAAACCAGCCTGGATATGGCCAAAACCCCTCTAAAACCAGGCTGGTCAACCAGCTAAAACCAGCCAACCAGCCTAAGCTGGTTTAAGCTGGATTTTTCAGCAGGGATTGCTTCAAGAGGATATTAACTTCCATTTATGTGTTGTTAACTGGTGATCTGGAACCTTTAGACAGATTGCTGTGCATATTGTAGATACATGATAATAATAACAATATTTTTTTTAATCTCATCTGTTTTTTTTTCTTTTAAGAAACGTTATGTTAAATAAAAAGTATAGTATACAGCTATATTTTGCTTGTTTTGACACATTTAAAATGTGTGGCTGAGAAATAATTATTTATTTTTAGTGTAGTCAGAGATACATTTGGTAAATCCTTAATTTTGTCCTCTGAAAAGTGATGTGGAATAAAAACTAATTGTAATACGACACTATGAATCCATAATCCATTTGCTCATGCTCACTGAGCAAGCTCATACACAACACACACAAAGTGAAATGAATGAGGAGGCATGTGGACATAACACAACATCTAAATCAAGTAAACTTAGTATGTCAAAGTCAAATTCATGCAAATAAAATATATTTTCCCAACAACAAAATTGTGGCTAGTGAAAATGGCGAGTGGCTAGTAATGTTGGAAAACTAGGGGAGCGTGGGGCACAAAGTAACGCGGGGTTAAATGTAATGCAGAGTTTTAAGGTATTTGCTGAGGGTAAACCGTGGCGTGCTTCAAAGGTTTTCACCACAGTGTCTGCAGATGTCTTCCTGGCAATTATCGAAAAAGTTCGGCAAAATTTGGATGAGAAACACAGGAGAAATCATTTTTTGCATAAAAGTATTTTTTTTTGTAGTTTAGATTTTTTGTTTTTAAAAAAATCTGTGAAAGCATATTAGTGAAATATTATGTTGTTGTCATCACCGTCTTCTAGGCTAAAAGATGAAACCATTTTGAAAGATGTCAAAAACACAGTGACTGCCAGCCGGGTTTTGAAGAAAACGCGACACAGCGCGGTTAGTTGTATCAGGGTGTTACGATTAAGCCACACACTGTTAGACACCAAATAAACTAACAAAATATATATTTTTTAATTTTGAGTGTAACGTTGAGAACTTTATATATAAAAAATGTTTTTAATAGAATTATCGTTTTTTTTTTTGATAGACAAAAAATGTTTTATTGCTAATACTACAAATAAATGCATGGTATAATAATGGATAACAATCCAAATAAATCCAAATGTGTTTATCCAATACATAA